CAAGTGTTGACCAAGCCTCTTGGTAGAACACATGTGCTGTAATAAAAGGCATTATGTGTATATAGAGTTTAGAAATAAAGCTTAATTGAGAGAAAGCAGAAATGTGTAATAAAAATGACTGAAATAAAGGATTTTGGAAGACAATTGAATAATTAACAAACTAGTTCTTTAAGACGAACGGCCATCTCAAATCACTAGATCATCCTAAAATAGACTTTACAGCATTCAACTGCCTTTGTCTACCGCTTTATGAAAAAGCAACACAGTTATAAGACCACAAATGTTAGAAACACAATATTGTCTGATTTTACAAAGATCACATGATTGTAGAGATTTCTCATTCTTGGTTCAAATTATTCTCCAAATTGTTGAATATAAAGACCACTGCAGGAAAGCTCTCAAGCATTCAGAAGCTACATAATGTATTAAATTCCACTGCTGTGTTCTTCCACATAGATTCCACCTCTTGTACCACATAGGTGGTGTTTGGACGCTTAATTAATGTTTTTAGATCACTTCGCATATCTGTGGCACTTGACAGTAGTTAGCGCTATTATTACTACAAATACGGGTACTCTGTGAAGTTCCACAATTTAAGGGAAAGGATAAATGAGTGATACAATATTCAATCATACTCCCATGTAAAAGAAAATAGCTTAGACTCAGAGAAGCAGGAGTGCAGTAGTCTGAACCAGGAGTGGGTGGAAAACAAAAATCCTGTTTTGTGAAAAATTTTGCGGTTTCAGAATTTTGTTTCATTCCAATGCTGAATGAAAATGAGATCTTTTGAAATTTTTGTGAAAAAATATGAAAGACACTCACCTCAGAATAGCCAGTAGTTTGGTGGCTGGGGCACTCACCTGTCATGTGGGAGACCTAAGTTCAAGTCCCTACTCTACCTGATTCAGAACTGCAGCTTGAACCCACGTCTCCTGTATCCCAGGTGAGTGCTCTGGTCTAGAGAGTCAATCCCACCTGTTGGAGAGATCTTTCTCTCCTATTTATTTGTATAATTAAATATTAATTGGGCCAGAGAGTTGGTCCCTTCTCTGAATTAGTAAACCTTCCAGACAAAAGAGCCAGCATTCTTTTGTGGATAAATTCCTGACTAGCTAAACCTAATCTAAACCTTCACCAGACGTAGTAATGAATGAATGTAAAAAGCACAAGTAGTAATGTTTTCACTGGGGTTTTCTGACTCAAAGGAGAAGGTGGATTTTAATACTGGGAACAGAAGCTACTCCTGAACTCTAATTAATACAGTAAGAAATTAAATTATAAGAAACTTAATTTTTTGGGTCACAAATTCGTATCGCTGACGTATTCCATGTTTTCTGTAATGCATTATGGAAACAAAATAGCCAAGTGTATTTTCAGAAAACTATGTAAATGAAATTGATAAAGTGTCAATACTTGACTGCTTGTTTCAATTGGATAACATCGGAAAAGCTGTTATAGTATGTTCAGATTGTTACAATATTGTCATATACCATAAGTGTTCATTTGAACAGTGAGAATACTGCAGACAAAGCGTGAAGCTTGCAAGATGTTTAAAACATTCTCTCTGATACAGTATGATACAGTCTGAAGCAGCAGTTCTTTTAATGGAGTTAATTCTTTCAGTCCGTCTCTCAAGGGGAAAGCACCATACTTTGCATTGTGGGGGTACTTAGTGATTCGCTTAGCAGGAGGTTAAATGAAGCCAAGTTTCAGACAGCAAAGAAATAAACCAGCTCATGCTCCTAATGTTTAATGTTAAAGGTTAACTGAATTTCAATTGATGAAAATTGCTACGTAACAGCTAAGTTTAATTATTGAGTGGGTTAAATAGATTTGAATCTTAAGACCCTCCCCCCCCCCATACAGTTTCTCTCATCATGCACCTCACAAACAGGTGAATTCCTCTATATTCCCAATGCTTCCCCTTCAGCCCCTCTGATGCTCCAATCACAGACAACAGCTGGGGTTCCAGATATTTCTACATACCCATTCACACCTCTGCAACCAGGGGCATGACCACAGATGTAGGTGGTAAAGGCTGTGTTAGGTGGCAGCATTGGTGGTTGGGCACTGTCCCAATCTGTCAGGGACACATGGAAATAGACAATATGGGGTGGAGGGAGGAATTCATCAGCCAGTAACAACCCCATGGCTGAGGGAAAACTCTCCCTTTTCTTTGCAGTGTATTGGTCCCTAGAAAAATCCATCTCTTTATAAAAAGGGATCTTTCTTCCCAAATATGCCAAAGCATATTTTACCATGACAGCATTTCTGCCCCTTTATATTTTCTAAACATGCACCAGATATACTGGGAAATTCTCATATGTCAATGACTACACAGATACACAGATCATCTAGATCTGAAGTCCAGGAGCAGTGGTACATATGCACAGACTTTCAGAAGAAAGGGAGATGAAGTGGCATGGTTATTGACCATTGGCAGCTCTTACCCATCCCCCAAGTTAGCATATGTTTATGCTGCTGTAAAATATATACAGTTAGAGCCTAGGATCAGGGATGTGTAAATTACAGGGTTACAACAGTTTGACATGCCACTTAGTAACTTGTGCATGGAACAGAAACATGAGCAGCTGGTGACCCGGCCCTTGGGGAGGCTAGCCCCCAGCCCCGCTCTTTCAGTCCGAGGCCTCTCCCCTTCTGCCCCGCCCTTCCCCGCAGGAGCCCAAAGCACACTGACCATGGGCCCCGGCGTCGGACAGCCAGGCAGCATGGTCACAGTGCCCCCTACCTGGAGCACCAGGTGGCGCAGATGCAGCGCCCCCAGCCCTGGAGCACCAGGTGGCCGAGTCAGAGCGCTGGGCGGGCAGCACGGCCCTTGTGCCAGCCTCCCCGAGTCCCCGCGGCACGTTGCCCAACCCCAGCCAGCCTGGGCCAGGGCAGAGTGCCGGGAATTGCAGGAGTAGGCCTGGGGGCGGAGCATGGGAGGGGCTACGCCAGGCTGTTCGGGGAAGCATAGCCTCCCCTAGAGTGACCGGATGTCGCAATACAATCGGAACTGTCCTAATATTTAACTCTTTGTCCTGACCAATGTGCGATCAGGATGCCATTTGTCCTGATATTGTAGGGTTGCCGGCTCCACGCAGCTCCCTCGAAGTGGTGACATCTCCCTCTGGGTCCTAGGTGCGGGGATAGCCAAGGGGGCTCTGCATGCTGCCCCTGCCATGAGCGCCAGCTGGAACCACAGCCAATGGGAGCTGCAGGGGCAGTGCCCTTCAGACGAGGCTCTGTACAGAGCGGCCTGGCCGCGCCTCTTTCTAGGACCCAGAGGGAGATATTGCTACTTCTGGGGAACCACCTGAGTTAAGTGCCTCCTAGAGCCCATACCCCACACCTCAACCCCTGCCCCAACCCTGAGCCCCCTCCTGCACCCAAACTCCCTCCCAGAGTCAGCACCCTAAACCCCCAGCTCCAGCCCTGAGACCCCCCCGCCTTGCGGTGGGGGCCGGACCTGGAGCTGTGCACCACCTACCTGCGGCTTGCGGAGGGGGCTGGAGCTGGGGTTGTGTGCCTGTGACCTGCAGCTTGTGGCGGGGGCCAGAGCTGTATGCCCCTGACCTGCGGCTTGCTGGGAGGGCCGGAGCCGGGCCCGCGACCTGCAGCTTGCAGCATCCCCTGCCCCCATGTGCGTCCCCCACCCCCATGGCTCCGGTGGGGGCTGTGAGCCTGTGGCTGTCCCCCCCATGTGTCCTGATATTTTACTCCTGTGCTCTGGTCACCCTAGCCTCCCATGAGTAGAAACAGTGCAACTAAGATCTGAGCCCTAAGCAAACAACATTTCCCCAAAGTAAGAGGCATATGCTCCACAGCCCACTGCAGTACCTATCAACCTTCCACAAGGTTAGGAGAAGAGAGAAGCCAGAAAGATTCCAAAACTATCTGACATGTATCATTCCCGTATCACAAATAGACAACAAAGTACTTTAGACGTAAACCAGCATAAAGAGAAAGCTTTTGTTTTGTTTTTAAATACCAAAACCAAAAACTCTTCTGCTATTATTCAAGTGTTGAAAACATGGTAAAAGCTCAGTTAGTCTCAGATCCTTCAAGCCTATAGCCTGGCTGTTAGGATGCTCACCTGGGAGAGGGGAGATCTGAGTTCAAGTCTCTGTTCCGGAGTTGAGATTCAAACCTGGGTCTCCCATATCTGGGCAAATGCCTTAACCACTGGCTAAAGTTATACAGGGACAGAATGGTACACACATGGCTAAAGGTTATAAGGGGACATACACACAGTTTGCTGGCCCTGAAAAACTTTTCCCCAGCTGAAGCTATCACGTCAAATTTGCAAATACTTTCTGTCAACCCGAAAATGCATTTTTTGGCAAATAAACTATTTGTCCAAAAAGTTTTGTCCTGCTCCAGTTTCAAGTCACAGTACTTTTGCAAAAAGATTGCTACTTGTACGAAGCTCAGAAGTGTCACTGAGAGTAAATGTAGAACCTATTTCTCAAATACATTTACAGGGCTTTGTCCTTCACTAGATTTTAGTGCATCATCACCTTTTGGTCTTTGAATGCTGAATCCCCACAGAATAAATTTATTGAAAACAATTAAATTTTTTAAATGAAATTAAATAAGAACAAGTGAGAAGTGGGCTGAATTTCAAAGGGATATTTTTGTTTTGGGGTCCTGTGTTAGAGAATAAAGCTGAGGGAATTCTCTACTATTTTTAAACCACTGGTATAGGAAAGATTAATATAAATTGTAAAGCCTAAAAGAAGATTTTAGGCCTGTTGTCCCATGCATAATCTAAATCTTTATTAAACTGATGCTTAAACACACATTCTGTCCTAATTCTGTGGTTAGTCTTTAAATATTTACACATTTCCTCTCTAACAAATATTACTCAAGAAAAAGATTTTTTAAAAATGTTGTCAAACATCAAATAGAGCTACAACCAGAATTTAAGAAGTAACAGCATACAGAAACAACCAGGCCAACTCAGCCACTTTGTCTATGACTTCATCCAGCATTCTTACCTGGTACTCCATTTCTCACCCAATAATCAGTGTCTGTTTCACCACCATTTTCATAAATATTTGTAACATTGATAGGCTGCAGCAGCTGCATAATCTCCTTCAGGATGGCACGAGCTTTATCACTGCCTGTAAAAGCCAGGCCCATCGGCATGAAGGTACCTGAATCAGACTCCATGACGATGTCAAAGTTGGAGATGTTACCCTGAACACATAAGAAAAGAACATTTTAATATTTATTTGCAGACTATTTTTGTAAGAATCCAATATTTGCCATTAGCTACATGTTACTGACAGAGCATGCAATACCAAAAAATTAAAGAGAATGCAGACAAGATATATATAGATATATATATATATGTATATGAACTATATAAAACAGAAAGCCTCATTCCTCGTATATGAATTGCTGATAAGTCTCTCCTTCCTGAGGAAACATAAAACATAAAACTGAATGCATCCGATGAAGTGAGCTGTAGCTCACAAAAGCTTATGCTCAAATAAATTTGTTAGTCTCTAAGGTGCCACAAGTACTCCTTTTCTTTTTGCGAATACAGACTAACACGGCTGCTACTCTGAAACCTGTCATAAAACAGAAGGCTTTCACAAAATAGCCCATCTGGTAGCACAAACTCATTGCACTACTAACTAGTCCTCTTAATAACCCGACTCTGATGAGACAGTTTAGAACTAGTTATACCTGAACTGTCTTGAAGGCATCTAACAGAACACACTCAATCCTCACAAGTTAGAGGTTTTGCTTCTATGCACATGTCTGGGAAATTCATGACAGCATAAGTAAGTGTTATTGGGCAGTGCTTCCCATGAATAATAGACCCATGCGAAATTGACTCACTGGTAACTATGAAAATGATCTCACACAAATATTACCAGCAATGAATGTTCAAAACCTGTCACCCTGGTGCCACAGGTTTCCTGAAGTTCAGCAACAGAATGTGTTGTGCATGCTCAATGTACTATTTTTAATTGCCTTATCTTGATTCTTTCAAGATCTAAGTATTTCAGATGTGGCAAAAATAGGAGTTCCTAATTCAGGAATGGGTAGGCTAAAAGTTTTAAAAGAAAAGTCTTTGAGATATCTGAACACACGGAAGTGTCCGAAAAGCAACTTAAATAAAGACTAAGGGCTTGGCTACGCTTGCAGATGTAGAGCGCTGGGAGTTAAACCAGCCTTCAGAGACCGCAGCAAGGAAAACGCTGCCATGTGTTTACACTGTCAGCTGCAAGCGCACTGGCGTGGCCACGTTAGCAGCTCTTGCAACGCCACAAAGAGCAGTGCATTGTGGGAGCTATCCCAGTGTGCAAGCGGCTGCAGCGTGCTTTTCAAATGTGGGTGGGTGGGTGGAGCATGACAGGGAATGTGTTGTGTGTATGTGGGGGGAGAGACAGTGTGTTTTGGGAGGCAGAGTGTGTGTCAGCATGCTGTCTTGTAAGTTCAGACAGCAGCAGACCCCCTTTTTCCCCCTGCCTCTCTCTCTGACACACACTCACAGCAGCAGCATTCCACAGTAATGGTTTGCTTTGTCCCGGAACAGATAAGCAGCCGGCCGTCAGAAACAGAGCTTTGAAAGGGGATATCCGCATGCCTGCAGCAGAGTTCAAAAGAATGAGACGAGTGGCCACGTGACTTCAGGGGATTATGGGACGTTTCTGGAGGCCAATCACAGCACACTAACGCAACACGTCGTCCACACTGACACCCGGGCGTTTCAGCTGGGGCGCAGCAAGTTCTATGCTTCTCGTGGAGGTGGATTACCAGGAGCGCTCCAGCTGCAGAGTCCAGGCGCTCTACGTGCCTTGCCAGCGTGGACACCTCAGGAGTTAGGGTGCCCGGGCCTGATTTAATGCGCTCTAACTTGCAAGTGTAGCCCAGCCCTAAGTCACCTCCCCAACTGTTGGACAACAAAATGGCTAAACAAATTAAGATATATTTTTGAAAATAATTAACTTCTTGGCTGAGTTGAAAAGCCTGAAAGGTTTCATTCTAGAAAGGTAAAAAAGTTACAAGTAACTGGGAACAGAGAATTAGAATGGAAGTGTCCTCTCAGCCCTATCTCCAGTGCAATGGCATAGGTCATGGGTTCTCACTCTGGGGTCACGACAACCCTCCCTTTCCTTATGGCAAAATGAGAAGAAGGACCAGAAAGTGCATTCTGTTGCAACGTGCTAACAGCATTGGAAAGGCTGAAAACCATGGGTATAGTTGATAGAATGTGTAAGACACTAAGCTTTAAATTTCGGGCTGGGTTAGCTGCCAGAGATAGTATGAGAGAGTGTTCAGGACAGCATTAAAACATTTCAGTCCCCTGGGGCATGAACACAGATGTACAAGGTGTCACAGTTCCAGGGTGATTGCACCTGTATTCCCCCTCTGTGGTCTGCTCCAGGAGTGCCCAATCAGGTCTCAGGCCTTAAGCCATCAGCTGTCTCTGGTCCCACTCCTTTCTGACCAGAGTTTTAAGGCTGCACATCCCCCTGTCGTACACAGTGATATCCTCAGCAGCTCTCAGACGTATCCAGCCCCCTGCTCTTTACTTTCACTGCCAGAACAATGACAGGGTTTTTACCAGTGACCACACAGCTCTTAGAAAGCAAAGTACATTTATTTTTAAGGCAAAAGCGTCACAGAAAAAACATATAAAAATGATAAAAGGATGTAAATGCTCACTAAACATACCAGGACTCTCCCATCTTCTACATGGGAAGTCTGTTAGGTCAAAGTCTTTCCAATCCTTCTGCAAGGGTTGGAGCCACCCTACAACCAAAGGTCCTGTTTGCTGAACCAAAAGGAAGGCCCTGAGTCTGTTTAAACTCAGCCTTTTATACCAAAAGTCTTTCTTTATCCTCCAGCCTCCTGAAAACAGTTAAAACCAGACCCTCCTGCTCTTTCCCAGCAGGAGAAGCTTCAAAAGATGGAGAATCTACATAGCCAGGCTTGGGATTTTGCATTAATCACCTCTTAGTGATCCCAGATCCCGCTGGATCCCCCACCCCACCCCCAGTGATCCAAGATAGCACAGGAAACCACCCCTATTTCCACCCCAAAGTGAGCCAGGAAAACACAGATACATTTGTATTGGTACAAAGGACTATTCTACCAGCTCAAACTGTGCAGCTCATCTCAGTATAATGGCTTTTTGAGGCTTTCATGCTTTCTATGTACAATACAATATGGTCCCCAAAGATACCGCATGTGGCTGCAATATCTGTCACACAAGAGTTGCCAGTTAAAAGACAATATTCGCTACAGTAACCACATTTCTCTCCTGTATTAGGTGTAGGAGGGAAAAATCTAGGTATCATTCATACCACCAAACTGGCAAATGCCAATGTTTTAATGCTGACCATTGTATCCTATTTGGCCTGGAACAGAAGCATTTCAAACACTGGCTCTTGAGCAGCTCTGCTGGATGCCTGTGAAGCATTGGCTATGTCTTCAAAACAATAACTCTGCTCAAAACAGTACTCATGTTTAGGGCCCTACCAAATTCATGGTCCACTTTGGTCAGCCATAGGATTTTTAAAATCATAAATATAATGATTTCAGCTATTTAAATCTGCAATTTCTCGGTGTTGAAATTGTAGGGGTCCTGACCCAAAAAGGAATGGGGGTGGGGGGGATGGCGCAAGGTTATTGTGTGGGGGGGGGAGGGGGGAAGGCTGTGGTACAGTTATCCTTACTTCTGCACTGTGCTGGCGGCGTCACTGCCTTCAGAGCTGGGCAGCTGGAGAGCAACGGCTGATGGCCTGGTATGGTATTGCCACCCTCACTTCTGCGCTGCTGCCTGCAGAGCTGGGCCCTTGATCAGCAGCTGCCACTCATTGGCTGCCCAGCTCTGAAGGCAGCGGCGCAGAAGTAAAGGGTGGCATGGTATCGTATTGCCACCCTTACTTCTGCACTGCTGCTGGCGGGGCACTGTCTTCAGAGCTGGGCATCTGGCCAACAGCCACCACTGTCCGGCCACCCAGATCTGAAGGCAGTGCAGAAGTAAGGATGACAATACCGCAACTCCCCTAAAATTACCTTGTGATACCACCCCCCCCACAACTCCCTTTTGGGTCAGGACCCCCAATTTAAGAAATGCTGGTGACCCCCGTGAAATCTGTATCATATAGGGTAAAAGCACACAAAAGAACAGATTTCATGAGGGGAGACCAGATTTCATGGTCTGTGACACGTTTTTCATGGCTGTGAATTTGGTAGGGCCCTACTCATGTTATAATAGGTTTCTAGTGCAGTAAGAGTGATCAATAGCATGTAAATGAATTGAGACAGACTATCTGTGGTTGGCAGAGTGAAGTGTTGGTGGGAATGGAAGAAAGGATATGGGGAAAAAGATTATCTGAAAGGCAAAATTGGCCACACCAAGCAAACTTCAATATATCAGCAACACGCGTGTGCAGAAAAGACCAGTTAACCATTGTAGAATTATTTTATAAGTAACAATATGGCATTCTTCAATTATTTTCTATTTATATAAATGTTCACATATGTTTTCAATATTAAACTGACAAAATGAACCACCCACAGTACACAACACTGCCTTTTCCCTCCTCGTTTATATTGTAACTGTTTAAATATTAGCACATGCAGGAGGGGTATGAAAACAGAATGTCTTTGCACAGAGAAACCAGATCGGGATGGGGGTGGGGAGGAAGAAACAGGCCACAAAGGTTAGAACTGCTCTTTCTCCTTTTTAAAGCATTTTGTCCATTAGAATGTAATGAGTAATTACAAGTATATGCATAGTGGATTTAGAAAACAACAGTAATGTAGGTTTCAGGGGAAATCCTAGGCTCCCCAAGAGGTGGTCTGGGCTGATTTCACCACACCAACTTTAGCATTTGTAATAAGATACTAAGGTTCCTATGTATGAGGGAAGAAATATGTTTCATGTAAGACTATCCTTTATTTCCTTTAGATGGTGCAGAGATAAGAGGCTGAGGCTGCATTTTGTTCTCATATGTAAACTGTTGACTATAACTGTAGGATTACAGAATAACTGTGGTCTCAGCTGTTCCCTCCACCTCTCCCTGTGCTAAAAATTTAATTCATATGCAAGCTTATTAAAAACTCAGGCCACTGAGATAATCACTTTTGTCAGGGACCAATGTATTTGCTGCAACTCGCAATAATGCAACATACTTAATGGTATAATTCTCACCATGGTACACAGCACAGAG